ACTTATTATTTTATATTTCATGCTTCAATTACTTAGATTGTTTTTATAATCGAGTCTACTTTCTTGGGTCAAGCAATGGTATTGTTACAAAATTAGCTGCTGATAGTGTGACGTTTACATGTATAAGCCACCAATCCGAGCACCTCGAATTATAGTGATATGCCTGTTAAGATGGTTAAAATGAATTTTATATGTTACCCATTAGGGACCGGTATTTGGAATGATAAACATTATTCATTCTTATTCTTCTAACAATAACATTTTTTTTCATTGTTGTTATAGTTTGCAGAGTCATATCAAATGTGTTGTCGCCGGGTACCCCTTATGTTGACAAAATGGTGCCTTATCATAGAGTAGGACTTAATTAAAATTTCGATAATTTGTCAGAAGGTCTAGATATTACTTGTAACGGACTTTTCATTCTTGTTCCAATACAATAGATTTACCTCAATACCAAAAGGCAAAAAAGCATATACCCTTATTCTAATATTTATTTACACTGGACATGTATAGTCACTGATCCTTTATTACTAATTCCAACCCTCCGATGTGAAGATGAGATCATTAAGAGACAGCTAGTCGCAATTTTAGACGGTGTTATATTTCGTCTTTATCATGTTTATGCTAATGTGATATATATTTTTATAAGTTTAATTAAACAAAAATTCTGGGAGGTGTCCCATTGTTTATGCGCCACGAATATTATAACTATTCTTCTTCGTATTGCTGACATCCCACAGTTCTGTCCATTCCACTGTTCTTTTTTTTTAATATACCTATTCATTTTGTAGTTATATATGGTATACACATGAAGCTCTAAATGTAAAACAAGTGTACTTTGAAAATATAAACAAGGCAATTCCTTCATTTGAATTTAATGCGTCATCAACACAATCTATTAATACATTTCGTTGTTGTACTTTATTGATATTGTTGCGATTATGTATAAATAGAACGAAAACGGAAAAACCCTAAACATTCTATATATTTATATTTAGAGTCGTTTACTTATTCTATTAACAATAATAATGTATGATACAAATTGTATGTATTGTCGTATTCAATTATTTAAAAAAAATAATTTGAAAATATTGAAAAGTTGTATTATGGTTTTGATTCAATATAAGTTAAAATTTGCAGCTCAACTTGTTATCCTTTACTTGCATATATACACTCGTAAGATCTATTTTTAGTAAGGGTTTTAAATAAACGCACACAAAGTTTGACGTTGAATTCGAATCAGGTAGGGAAAACTACTTTTAATTTCTGAACGAAGCAATAGAATTGTATTTTGAAATGAAATACAGAACAAGTTAAAAAAATCACCATAACTCAAACATCATTACACAATAAATACATTCCTTAGTCCTCTTCTTGCTAGTTTTTAAATTTGACGAGACAAAACTAGGCTAGAAATATACAAATGTTCATACATAAATTTATCTAAAAAAAAATTCTAAATAATATATTGAGACGGTGTTTTACTTTTAACTGAATGACACGAATATTATTGATTTAAATTGCATTAATGGTCCAATTTTTCTGCACCAGATACGCATTTCGACAATAAATGTCTCTTCAGAAATGCTCAATGTCAATATATTTGAAATGTGAAGCTTATTTAAAAAAAATAATAAAGAGCTTATAAACCAAAAAGGATGTAATAATGTAGTTGTTGTTTAATAAACGAGTTTTAAATGTACCAATATTGTCTCTTAATTGGCTCGTTATTACTCGGTTTATCATTTCAACACGGATACCTTAACACAATTTTTATTTGATCTGGCGAATATTGCATGCAGGCAAAATGACAAATATATCCAGTGTGCGGTAAAAATACATCTTTTGCTGCACATATCCATTAGAAAATATTTTGTTCACGTCTCATTCTTTATCTTCCTTTTATTATGGGTACTCATCATACTTGTCAACATATTTTATCTTTACGCCGAGCGCTCATTATCTTTCAAATGTTTGAAGTTAGATCATTCCTTGTTGATGAAGAAAATGAACGCTTCTTACACACCTGCTTTATGAGGTGATGATCTTTGGTGATTTTAATGCACGAACTGCCTCTGATTAATTTTAACCCACCATTTTTTCTTGAACTGTCCTGTACCAAGTCAGGAATATGGCAGTTGTTATCAAATAGTCCGTTTTTATATGTATGTTGGCGATTGATTTTGTAGCAGTTCAGTGTTTCTGTTATTCCGTTGTTTTCCTTTTATAATTGATGTGTTTCTCTCGGTTTTGGTTTGTCACCCGGATTTGTTTTCGCTTAATCGATTTATGACTATTGAGCAGCGGTATACTACTGTTGGCCTTATTTAGACTGTATTTCAATTGATAGTTCCAAATACCTTCCGTTGTTTTTTTCTTATAAGAATGATGATAAAATAAGAGGGAGAAATAACCATGCTGTTATATTAGATGCAAAGGGAAAGAATTACTTGAACTGTGTATAAGTAATCAGATGAGTATTGCCAATGGCAGGTGCTTTGGAGATTTTTTTGGTAGATTTACTTGTTTTAATCCATTGGGTCAAAGCACAGTTATTTATCTAATGGACTCAGAGTCAATTTATTCACAAATATTGTATTTCAAAGTTTCTGATTTTATACCATTTTTATCAGACTGACATTGTAAAATCTCTTGGGAAATTTTAGCCAAGTTCAGAAGTATTTGTCCTAATAAGTTTATAATATGACTCATGAGTTGCCCACAAATTATATCTGGAAAAAGGATTGTAGTGAAAAAGTTTAAGAGGCTTTAAATTCAAATGAAGTTCAAGAAAAAATCAAACTGTTTCAGAATAAATAAAGAGTTTCACATCAAATGATATTGAGGAAGCAGTTAAGGACTCAAATGACATAATTTTGTCGGCTGCAAAACTGTCTCTTTCAAAATTAAAATATAGAAAAATAAAAAAAAATAAAAAATGGTTTGATTTGAATCTTAAAAAAACGAGGGGAAATGTTTTATCCCAAGGAAAACTTTACAGTAAATTTCCAAAAAATCCTGTAATAAGGGGTCATTATTATAAGCTTTATAGACAATGTTATAATAAACTAAGGAAATATAAATATAGACAATTTAAGAATGCTATTGTCCACCAGTTAGACCAACTTTATGATAATGATCCAAAACAATACTGGAAACTTGTTAATGATCTGATATCTGAAATTCGAGAAAATAAGAACAATTCAATTGATGCAGACGCATGGCTACAGCATTTTATATCCTTACACTCATCAATTGATAACTTTGAATCTCGTATGAAAAAGATAAATGATTTTATATGCCAAAAGAAAGATAACTCTATTTTCAATCAATTAGATCATACGATAACACCAAAAGAGATACCAACTGCAATATCCTTACTTAAATTGGGTAAGGCAAACTGATTAGATTTAAAATCAAATGAAATGCTGAAGTCTGGTTTGTCACAACTTTTGCCTTGTTTATTGGGTCTCTTAAAGTTATGTTTTTTAAACGGTGTTCACCCAGATACATGGGCTGAGGGTTATATTACTCCTATTTCTAAAAATGATTACTCTTATTATCCAAGTAATTACAGAGGTATACCTCTAACCAGCAATTTAGGCAAGGTTTTCAATAGCATATTAAATAATAGAATTTATAATTTTCTCAATAATAACAATTTAATACAAATTGGTTTTACAAAAAACGGTAGGACAAATGACCACTGCTTTGTTGTAAAAAGTCTTATTGATAAATATTGTAATTATAAGGAAGGAAGACTTTATGCCTGTTTTATAGATTTTCATAAGGCATTTGGTAGTGTTATTCATAATGGGATGAAGCTTAAATTGTTACAAATAAATGTAAGGAACAAATTTTATAATATTATATAGATAGTATGTATAATAAGAGTAAAGCATGTGTAAAAGTAATCGATTCAGTTACCAGCTCCTTTCCAGTAAAAATAGTCTGTTTAAAATTTCTACTAATGATCTCCCATTATATTTACAAACATGCTTTGACTCTGTGAAATTTTAATGTAAAGATTTAGATTACTTAATGTATGCAGATGATGTTGTGATTTTTTCAACTTCTGCAGAAGGTTTGCAAAGGAATTTTAGAAATGTATTGCTCTGACTGGTGTCTTAAGATTAATCTGAAAAAGACAAAAATAATTATTTTTAATAAAGACGGAAGACTCTTGCGGCAACTTTTTTTCTTCAAGATTTAAGAAATTGTCAATTTTCCAAAAAAATGGGGGTCACAATTGCTAATTCTTTGTATATAGTCTAAAACAGATTTACTTAGTATTGCGCAAACAGCACAGTGTATTGCACAAAAGCAAGAAATCTTTAATTGAATATAAATTCAAATCATATAACCAATTAAGTTCTTTGACTACATTTATTCTGTGTCAGAAACCTATAATGTGTCAAATATTTAATTACAATCCAAATTCAGACCTGTATCAAGCTTAAATATAGTGTCCATTTATGCCCCAACTGTTCAGGGTTGGACCTCTGCGGTCGTATCCAGTTTATATATAATATGAAATGATTTAAAAATCTATTTTCGGCTAGGGTATTAAACCTTATCCACAACCATTTTTTCTCAATACATCTAAAATGATTGTGGAATAGGAACGTGCCACAGCTTTAAATAGCATATAATTTACTATTGTATACGCTAATAACAAATATGTTTAAAGACATGTTAGCTATTTCCTTCTTTTTATGTTTCATCAACCTACTAACCAAATAACATATCAACGAGTTCAAACTTTTTAGCCGGGGTAGTATAGACTGTTTGATAAAGACTTCTGAACAAAACCGGAGTCCGATTTCATTATTCAGCCGAAAAATGAAAATTTACGATTGATGAAAGAAAATAAAACAGATGAAACTATTGTATAGTCTTAAATATCCTATCTTTATGAGAACATGTTTTAATTGATTTTTAGAGGAAAATGATGTTGATGTTTAAACTTTTACATCCAACTCTACTTTTAATCTTTATAGAAATACTGCAAATATGTAGACAAAACTACGTTGTTAACCGTATTAACAGGATTCGGAGATGGATGGTGGTGGCACAGACTACTGGAAAACAGCACTGTTAGAAGTAAGCGATGACCTGGATAGCCGTGATGCTCTCTCCGTGCGATATTTGGTCCAAGATGAAATCGGCAACCCTGATTTTGAGAAGAAAAGAGATGCAATTGACATCTTGAATCAACTTTTACATTTGAAAGATCAAGAACTTGTCAAGCATGTTGGAGAATGTCTCTATTTGATGGAAAAATTCACACTAATCAGGAAACTTGGTTTAAACAAAGAAGAACTGAGAAACCAAGTTGAAAATAATGACACTCCAACTATCAGTCCTTTCAGGTAAGAAAGAATTAGAAATATCCTAACTTTCGACATTGGTATGACTTATTTAGAAAGTATAATAGATATACGACTTTTCATATAGAATGCAGTGGTGAAACATAAATACACCACACTTATGTATGGTATTGCTATCCTTTTAAAAAGATTGATAAGATATAAACGTCGGTACATACATTCTCTACATATTTGAATTAGACTAACCAATCATAAATTGACCTATTAAGTCAACGAAAATTGGACAACAATACAACAGCAATTTTAAAATGAATGGCCTCCTTTTTAAAAATATCTACACGGACCTCGGTTATATATAGAAGTGGTCAGAAGACATTGAAGAAGACCTCTAATTTGAAATCGACTTTGTCGCATAAAAATGAGTATTGTTACACACAAAAAAAAAATCGTCTTTGCATGTTCGATTTTTCCGCATTCATAAAGACACATTAAAAAAATTGAAAACAACACGTTTAATAATTTCTTGCGTCCGAAGCGCTTTTCTGGATTTACCTTCATCAGGAACGCTCAAAGCCAAACATTTGAAATCCGAAGATGTATAAGTACCGAAACCGTTGAAGAGCTATATGTCAAAAAAAAATTAAATTTCGTCTCATATGTCTGTATATAGTAACACATGTCGTAATGTTTTGGTCAGGAAAGCCTTATTTAACATAACAAAAGAATTGTCAACAGATGATGTGGATAAGATGATACGATTATCTAAAGATTTCCTGCAAAATTTGTCTATTCGTCGACTAGAAAGAATTGACGAAAGTGCAAGGGTATTTGAATTATTCAACATTTTGGAACAGAGAAAAGAAATTTCATCTGAAGATAGTTCCTTCCTTACCAAACTGTTCAAAGAAATGAATCGAAAGGATCTTGATCATCATTTAGATACACTTACAAATGGAGGTAACGTTCATACAATATACTAACGATTACTTGAGCCACAGTCTAATGTTAATTAATTGAAAAATGACAGAACACTTATCGTTACATATATTTTTATACCCCACGGAACAAAGTTTGTCTATCCGTCCTTCCGTCAGTCCTGTTTTTGGCATAACTATTCCTCTGAAACCACACAACAGAATTTCATGAAAATTTGTAAAATAAGGACATACTATCTAGATGTGCATATCGTCAGGAAATTATGATTCAACTTTTTTTTCTAGGAGTAATGCCTCTTTGAACTTATAATCATGGCATAAATATACTACTGCAACAGTTTGTCAACGCAACTCCTTTAAAACCATACGACAGAATTTAATGAAACTTTGTAGATACTAGTAGTTAGGACAAATTATGTAGATATGCAAATCGACAGGAAATTATGATATAATTTTTTCTAGGAGTAATGCCTCTTTGAAGTTAGAATTTTGGTCTAAATATACTAATGTAACAGTTTGTCATTGCAACTTCTCTGAATTCACACAACAGAATTTCATGAAACTTTGTAGTTAATTAAGACATAATATGTGCATATCGACAGGAAACTATTATTCAATTTTTGTTCTTGGTGTTAAGCCACTTAGAACTTTGAATGTTGGCCTAAATATACTACTGCATTAGTATATATCTCCCAATTGATACGATATTCCCGGGCTTGTATTTCCTATCATGATTTCCTTGATAGAGGAATGCTGCTCACACAGAAGCTATTAAACCAAGAGTTATAAATGATGAAGTTGAAATCATCACTTCGTAAATTTTACGGACGCCATCACGAGTTGGTTGACCATCATGGAATAACCGTTTCACAGATGATGTCGGATATGTTCCTTTCACCAATGGGACCTACCGAATTAGACTATTTACCGGATTTGTAATAACATAAGCAACACGATGGGTGCCACATGTGGAGCAGGATCTGCTTACCCTTCCGGAGCACCTGGGATCACCCCCAGTTTTTGGTGGGGTTCGTGTTGCTTAGTCTTTAGTTTTCTATGTTGTGTCATCTATACTATTATTTGTCTGTTTGTCTTTTTATTTTTTGCCGTGGCGTTGTCAGTTTGTTTTCGATCTATGAGTTTGACTATCCCTCTGGTATTTTTCGTCCCTCTTTCTTGCCATCGCAACTCCTCTGAAACCGTATACAAAAAATTCATGAAACTTTATAGATAATAAGGACATAAGATCAAGATGTGCATATCCACAAGAAATTTTTATGGGTTGACTTTTGTAGGAGTTGTGAGCCTTTGAACTTAGAAATCTGTTGAAATTTTGTTTGCCCAGTGACAATGTTGGGCCGTGGGGTATGTGAGCGTGCTCACACAGGTTCTTTAAATGACACTTTAAATAGAGGTCACTGTTAACTCAGTTTAATTCAGTACAAATTTATCATACAAGAGAAATCTTGGGCACAAAACATGTCAATGGTTGAATATGGGTGCTTATAAGTAAGCAAGTTCAATATAGCGCGATTACTTTTTTGGAAAACGAGACTATGATTGTGTCAGTGGTAACAATAGGCACAACATTTTTCAATACCGAGAGACACCACAGTCCACACGAATCACCGACTTGTAAGCATTCCAAAGTTGAACAGTGTCCATTTTAAGTACACAAGACATCCTCATGTAGGTAAAAAAAAAAGATATGAAAACAAATTTGTTGAAGTTTTTTTCTTTTTTTGTTAACCAACATAGTGATAATATCTACAGATCACCATTTTCCCTTTGCCCATCCCACCATTTTAACACCGTTAAAAGGGAAATGTATTTTTCCAAATGTTAAAGAATGAAAAAAGCAACACAACACGTCAATGAACCGAACAACCTAATACGAAAAGTTAAGTTCATTTTAAGATATTGATTACAATGTCCCTCTACGGAATCATTTAACTTCACATTGATTATCATGATTTTCCTCACAATTATCGCTATTTATTTACTTGTTGTTATAATCCATTTGCCAATCATCGATATGATTCTGTTAGTACACACTTATAACACAAATTGTTTCCTTTGTCAATCGTAGACTGGTTCTATACCGGACAATAGTTGCTTCTGCTCACGCAAAGGATGGCAGGTTGAAAGTTTTAAATCAGTGTTTTATCTAATATTTAGTGAAAGATAACTGCTAGTAACAAACGTTTTTATTTTAACAAAAATAAAATGTAATTATAAGCTTTGTAAAGGTTACATAAATTACACGGATAAATTTGCTGTTTGTGCTATCCCTACATTGTCAATGAAAATGTATGTCCCTTTCAAGGTCGACAACTAAAAATGGATCTCTAATTACAGGATCGATTACGGGAATTGGCAAAAAGACTACTAGTATTAGCATTTAGATATTGATTTTAAACTTGTAGGTTTCAAACCAGTCGGGATATATCCGGTAAATACAGAGAGTCCAGGTTGGAAAAATGTTTTATTTTCTATCATATAATCATGAAAGTTTCTTTTTGTGTTGATAGCTAATATAAAAACAATACATTGGATTTTTTTATTCTTTTCATATTTTGATCAATTGAATGAATCATTTTAAATCTTACTATTTAATTTCATATTATTCATTGAGTTAATTGTCGAGAATGTATAGCATTAATATCTTATCTCAATCAGAAACAGATACTGTAGTACTGTATTAAATTATCGTTTTCAGGTTTCTGCATTATATTGAACAACGAAAAATTTGAAGACTCAGAAAAGTTTCATGATAGAATAGGCTCACAAGCAGATGTCGGTAAGTAACGTCTGGTTTTTATTTTGATACAATTTCCAATTAATGATACGAATCCCTGAAGTAAAGCTAAAACAAAATCAGTTATTTAGAAAAGACAGAAACATTTTTTAGCAGGTTAAGAACTTTCCGCCCCGCTTTGTTCTGTCTGATACAATTTATCATTGTTTTGAGTCTACCTTTTGGTGTAATTTATTTTCTCTCACCGTCGGATTGCTTTCTTATTTACGCGTCGTGTCCAACGTCGATTTTTGTTAATATAACATTATGGTGGGTTACAATTATCGGTAAAATCAATTTGAAATCATAGTTAAACTAATTTTTTTTTGTTTCATTCGATACTATTTAATCCGCAAACTTTGTGAAAATCGATTGTTATCTTCCAACTTTAAGATAACAAATATTAGAGTGATCTTTTATGACGTTATAACGACATGTATTGTTCGACATCCCCTTTGAAATTTTATCTCTGTATGAGAGTTTTAAAAAATAAATATTTCAACTTTAATAAATACAAATAGAAAATAAAATCTTTAGACATAAGTAGAGAAATCAGATACAGATAATGAAGCCAAGGCTCTAATTGCATACTGAACACTTTGGTCTTTGAAATACTTAAACATTAATTGATTTGATGTCCACTTTTAACATCTTTCATCTTTTAAAAATATTTTGCAATTTCAGCCTTTATAACAAGATTGTTTGAAAACCTTCGGTACAAGATTATAGTAAAAACCAATCTTCGATCAAGAGAAATCATTGATTTTGTACACCGATTAAAGGCAGAAGATCACGGGGTGGATACTTCTTTTGTGTTTTTCATTTTGTCTCATGGAGGACCACGCATGATATACGGTGTAGACGGTGTGCCAGTTCAATTAAGGAAATTAACCGACGAATTCACTGCTTCCGCATGCAAAAGCTTAGCCGGAAAACCAAAACTATTTTTCATACAAGCATGCCAGGGAGAAAAAGAACAGCTTATGCCAAGTGAGTATTTTTTTAATTAGTAATTTATCAAGTAGAAATTCGGCCATGTTTTTCCCATTGCTACCACCTCTGGAAAAGTTCGGTTCATGAAACTGGAAGAATATGATACGCGTTGTTATATACTTTTAATGGCAATTAGAAGTATTTGAGAACCAATAGTTTGATATATATTCCTGATTTTTTAATCTTTAAGCAGACAAATAACGGGTAAGTGTATGCATTCCTTGTAGCCAAAAGACCATTAGTAAAACCATTTTTATCGATCTTTTTTATAGCGTAACAGTTGACCGTTACGGAATATTCGTTTCACAGATGATAGCGGATATGTTCCTAATGTCGTTACTACAATCCCGTCCCCATTTCCCGAAAGTGACCTACTGAATAAGACTTATTACCGGGTTTGTACTAACATGAGCAAAACGACGGGTACCACATGTTGAACAGGATCTGCTTATCCTTCCGGAGCACACGAGATCACCCCCAGCTTTTGGTGGGGTTCGTGTTGCTCAGTCTTTAGTTTTCTATGTTGTGTTTTGTGTACTATTGTTTGTCTGTTTGTCTTTTTCTTTTTCATACGCCCGTTTACGGGACGTATTATGGCATACCGTTGTCCGTCTGTCCGTCCGTCCGTCTGTCCGTCCGTCCGTCTGTCCGTCCGTCCGTCTGTCCGTCCGTCGTCAACATGTCGGACATTAACTCAAAAACGCTTTAGATAATATGCATGAAACTTTGGAGAATTGTTTATATCTATTGACGTGAGCTCCCTTTCGTTTTTTACAAATTTCAGATTTACCGTTTCTGAGTTTTGGGGTTTTATTCATTAAAAAAGGGGGGATTTTCCAGTTATCGACAATAACTCAAGAATGCTTTCACCAACTTGCAAGAAATTTTGGTGAATTGTTTATATCTATTGACATGAGCTCCCTTTCGATTTTTATAAATTTTAGATTTAACGTTTATGAGTTACAGAGTTTTATTCTTAAAAAAGGGGGATTTTCAAGTTTTCGAAAAATAACTAAAAAATGCTTTCAGCAGTTCTCATGAAACTTCGGTGAATTGTTTATATTTGTTGATGTAAGCTCCCATTTAGAATTTTATAAATTTTAGATTTTACATATCTGAGTTATGGGGTTTTATTCATAAAAAAGGGGGGATTTTTCAGTTTTTGGACAATAACTCAAAAATGCTTTACGCAGTTCGCATGAAACTTTGGTGAATTTTTTATAGCTATTGATGTAATCTCCCTATTGATTTTCATAAATTTCAAATATGACATTGAGAAGAAATTGAACTTTACTTGTTTATAGTCTGACAACAGATTTACTAAGTATTGCGCAACAGCACAGTGTATTGCACAACAGCAAGAAATCTTTAATTGAATATAAATTCAATTCATATAACCATTTTCAAGTTCTTTGACTACATTTATTCAGAAACCTATGATATGTCAAATATTTATTATAATCCAAATTCAGACCTGTATCAAGCTTGAATATTGTGTCCATTTTTGCCCCAACTTTTCAGGGTTGGACCTCTGCGGGCGTATCCAGCTGCGCTCAGCGAAGAAGTTTATTAACCATGGCGTTGTCAGTTTATTTTCGACTTATGAGTTTGAATGTCCCTTTGGTATCTTTCGCCTCTCTGTTAGATCATCGAGGATATCTCATAAAAATTTCCCAAAAAATAACAAGTATCTAAGGACATTATTTTGTATTTGCATTTAGTACATTTGTTTTTTCTATATTTATGATATTCCTGTAGAAATGTTTGAATGTTATTCAGATTCTATGCCTATGGTTTTATATATTCGCTGTTAAGGCTTTTGTGTTTGTTTTTATGCTATAAAAGTTATACATGTTTTGCTTTTTAAACAACTTATCAAAGATAAAAAGGTTACCAAATACTCGTCATCGGCGATCGATAAAACAAACACAGTTATTATGCTAAATCAAATACGGAGTTGGAGATGATTGAAAATCTAAAAATCCAATACTATTTAAGAAACAATGGAAGTGCCCATGGAAAAAGAGACGTAAGATGCTTTCAAAACAATTTTGACATGTAACATTTAAGCTTAAATTTCTACAGGAAGGACCAGTCCAAGGCGTCATCGTGGAGTTAGAAGTGATGTTGTACTAGTGTCTCCAGATCAGGATGAAACACTTGATGACGTAGTTATTCCTAATGCAAGTGACTTCTTTTTGGGATTTTCTACGGCACCTGGATACATCTCCTACCGCGATCCTAGCAGTGGGTCGTTTTATATACAGTCTTTGTGTCGTCAAATCCAGGAAAAGTGTAAAAGGTATATGCTATTTAGTATCCATATTTACTGACATATTAATGTTTGAAATTTATCAGTGTGGTGTCGATCTCATTTACAAAAATACAAAACGTTATTTTTTCTGAAACGTGTTAGTTACTGTCTTCACTATAAATTTTATTTCTAAGGAAAACATTTGAAATGTTATCGTACCGATCATGACAACGTTTTAAATGTGCCTCTAGAGAGAACTCTTTAAGAATGGCATACCTCGCTTAAAGCTCTGAAATTGAAAAAAAAAATATTGAGGATTGAATTTTTAAATGAAGTTGCACCAAACCTCGTACTCATGTCCTTGGACAAAATAAATAAATTATTTAGTAGATGTCTTATGTTATTTAGACATGTTTTTGTTTTCAGAAAAAGTTGACTTTTGATCTTTGATTGTTGCTGTTTAATCTATTCACAACATTTTGGGAGTATGGATGACATAGTACTTTACATATATATTGTTTACTATGCACATGATGTATTGCCCTCCAGATATCATTTGGTTAATATGCCGTTAGGTAAATGTGTCCTTGACTTAAATTCTACCAAGAAACCTGTTTAATTCTTGAATAAAATTGGTAACTTTTTCTGAATTGTAAAGACCGTTTGGCAGAATTCCCGTCTATCAAGTATGTCAAATACTAGTACGCACAATAATGTCTTTGCATCAATCAAAATACGAGTATTAGCTTTACTGACTGTTGTTTCTTTTATAAATTCAAATCAGTAATGCTCCGAATTTTTATTGTCATTTTGACTTTTTTTACAGTCACCATTTACTAGATATTTTAACAGAGGTAAACAGTCAAGTAAGCAAACAGAATATATTACTGGACGGTGGACAGAGAGCTAAAACTGTTCCGACACAGGAGACGTCTCTTACCGCCAAGTTCTACTTCTATCCTGAAACTAGTAAATATACAGTCTAACATGTAAACGGAATACGAACTGTATTAAATTAATGGTTAATCTGCTAGATAACAAAATAACACTATAAATTATTAAACAATGTTATAAATGTTGGTAACGTTAACCTTTTAATCCTCGCTTACAAAACTTAGTGTCTACTGGTTATGTGTTTGCTCAATTCGTCGTTTATCTGTCCGTACTTCGGATCATCCAATTCTCTAAAGACAATTGCCACATTTCAATGAAAATAAAATCCTACTTATCTCATTTCATTAGAATCTCGATTTTGTACAAAACGGGTATAGATAAACTTTAAGTACTCTCTTGATTTCAGTTTAACTTTTACAAAAACTTTTATCTTATGGATATATATATATAACGTTACAACGCTGACTTTGTATTTTGATTTCAAATATGTTTAGGGTTCCCAAACGCGAAAACATGAATTGCATGAAATAAGTATACACATGACAGCAAAGTGCATGTGAATTTGTAAGCTTGGATCACATGTTTTTGTTTTGTAAATTGTCTGTAATTATAAAGTTTTAATATTTTATTTTTTTTAAATAGAAAAATGAAGCTAAGTGACATTAATAGTTATTCAACGAATGCATTGTTCATCTACAGTTCTCTCTTGATTTGTAAATATTAACTATCCAATTGAATTTTCACATATTTAGAGATGTATTTTATTTTAAATATTAGTGTTTTAATCATAAAAATGCAATCCTAAATTAACAGTAACATTTTAATCCCATTTGAAAGGTTTATTTTATGAATGTAAAATACAGATACAGATACCTATGAATTTTATCACAAACTTGCAGTATGCAATATAATGATTTGCATTTTACAAAAATGGACACTTTCAGTTCATAATCATTTTCGCTGTGAACAATATACGTACACAGAGATCCACAAAAACGGCATTCATGTTCAATTTAATATGTAGTTCGAATCATTAGGTAAAAAAACACATAACCTAGGAAAGGTAAAGTTCATCTTTTTCCTAAATGTGTAGGTGTTTGTATATTATATCGGTTATATGGAAAAGTAATGAATATGAAACTATATTTTTTTTCCAAACTGTGACACACATAGATGAAATATGCTGCTGTTAATTGATTTCATTCTTAACAAACACAATAATATACAGATAACATCATTATCTAAACATTTCTTAATACTTTTGTTGTCTAGTTCTTAAAAGGATATTTCTACAGGGGTTACAAATAAAATTTTCAAGCAAATCCAATTTAAATTGTATTTCAACAGAAACCAGGTATTTAGGCACAATAAGCAAAACAAGTTTCGTATTGTGGTTCAAATGCTTTAATTGTTTAATTGTTAAAACAATGCAAAACATAACTGTCATGAAAAATAGAAAATATAGGGGGATAAAAGGTACTTCTTTTTGTAAAAATATCAGTGGATAAGAAGATTTTTTTCTGTTTATATTATCATGTATCACGTTTTTTCCTGCAAAAATATAATGATGTTAAGATTAAAAATTAAAAAAACGAATGTTACAAAAACGCATGATTTCAATGATCACACGACATTGAACAATCTCATCAGGTACACTTGAGACCTAGACGTTAAGAAAACAACCCAAACCATCTCAAATCAACTTTTTCTGAGTGTGTTGCAACCTTATCATTCGTACAATAATCTTATATTATAACCAGGAAATGTACAGATAATACGTATCAGAAGCAATGGCTACTGGGGTATAAATAAAAAGCAGTGGGAGTTAAAAATGTCTGAAACGACTTCAACACGAAACTACACAAGATTTCTGTATTTTTTAAAGTCAAATTAGTCGTCTTCTATTGTGACAATAAAAATGGACTAGTTAATTGATAACCATTTTTCTTTAAATCAATACGAGCAACATTATATTGTTTAGGAGAAAATGATATGCCTTTGTGGATTATTTGTGTACATTGCTAATAGGGATCTGTGATTCCATCAGAAAGTGTCTGTATTTCTATTTTTGTTCAAATACTAATATGTTAGAAACGTCTACCTGATTTGTCTTATTATTTGAAACAGTATAGAAAATTTGTTACCATTAAATGAACTCCCATATTATCATCTTTTATTAAATCACTATGCTTATGAAAGGGAAATGTACTCAAAAAGAATACCTAGCTGATTCCACAGAACACTTAACTCTAAACATGCTAAAGAAGGAATATTTAATAACATACGGTTGATAAGTGTATCGCATTTTGCGAACAAAACACAATTAATGCTCTTAATTTTTTGTGTGAAAAGATGAACAGGTGATGTATAATGCATTATTATTAATTATTTATATCGTATTATTTTAAGTGTGTTGTCCTCTAGACAGTTAAAAATAAACAATTTAATGTAAGTTGATTGACCTATTACTAGATTCAATTTTTTCAACCAGTTTGTAAACCCTATTGGATATTTGTTATCAACATTTGTTAAACTTTGTTATATCATATTTTGTTGTATTTCTTAAAGTAAACCTTGCTTTAGACAGAATTTTCTCACAGCTAACAGTAGTGTATGTTCAGTCATGTTGTTGTAATTACATGTAATTGGTAGTCCTTTCTTATATATACCATTTGCACATTCCTAATTTTTAACCGGATTTTCGTAGGGAATATCGGTTATTAAAATGGTGATATACGGCGGGCGGCTGGGCGGTTTGGCGGCTGCAAAACAGTGTCCGCACAATAACATGAAAACGCTTTAACAATTTTTTTTCAAATTTAAAAATGTTGTTTCCTGGGACTTAATGAAGGTCTCTATTAATTTTCAAGATTTTAGTATATCTTCTTTGTGAGTTATCGCCATTTTTAATATCCAAAAGTAGAATTTTAAAATATTTTACTGTTGTTATCATTTTATGGTTTGTCTTATTTCAGAATAAAAATTGGAGTGACAGATTTATTTGAAAATTATCTATTTCCTAAGTGGTAATGGTTATAAGCTATATCATTAGACATTTTGAAGATGATTACATTATTAATTATGTTAGAGTACTATGTTAAACAACCATAGTTCTGTTCAATCAGATATTATAAATATTCAGCATATGATAATGATTTATTTTCATTATTAATTAGATCTTGGAAATAATTTAGCATATGATAATCATTGGAGTGACAGATTTATTTGAAAATTTTCTGTTTTCTGATAAGATCTGTAGGACTGTATATATACAGTTTGAAACTTACTAGTATTACTGTATAAATGAAGTATGGAATTTACTGTTCATTATTAGACATTTTGTAGATAATTAAGTGTCCGTTAATCATATATATTCTTACCCCTTCCCCCCTTCAATTTGATAATGTGCTTTTATCTTGTAAACGGTTGAGATCCCTACTCCTAAACCATATATATTCTTGTATGGGACAATAAAACAAATCAAATGAAATATTGGGATAGTCCTCGGGTTAACGGCTACCCTCCTTTTTTTGAAAACTTGTAAATGTGCAAGCTCTCCACCCTGAAACCATATGTAATTGTATGTTACAAATAAAATGAAATAAAAGGTGAGTCCCCTGGGGTCATCCCCAGCATGTCTGTTTGAAAACTTGTAAACGGTCGAGATCCCCACCCCTAAACAATATATATTTTTGTATGGGACAATAAAAGAAATCAAATGAAATATAGGGGAAGTCCATTGTGGTAACCCCCCATCCCCTTCTGTTTGAGAAATTGTAAACGGTTGAGATCCCCACCCCTAAACCATATTTATTCTTGTATTTGACAATAAAACAAATCAATTGAAATTTAGGGGAAGTCCCCTGGGGTAACCCCCACCCCCTTTTTTTTGAAAACTTGTAAACATTCAAGATCCCCACCCTGAAACCATATATATATTCTTGTATGTGACAATAAAACAAATCAAATGAAATAAAAGTCAAGTCCCCTGGGGTCATCCCCACCTTCTTTCTGTTTAAGAACTTGTAAACGGTCGAGATCCCCACCCCTAAACCATATATATTCTTGTATGGGACAATAAAACTAATCAAATGAAATATAGGGGAAGTCCATTGGGGAAAACCCCTACCCCCTTTTTTTTGATAACTTGTAAACGGTCAAGATTCCCACCCAGAAACCATATATATTCTTGTATGGGACAATATATCAAATCAAGTGAAATATTGGGGAAGTCCACGGGGGTAAACACTACCCCCTTCTTTTAGAAAACTTGTAAACGGTTAAGATCCCCAACCCTAAACCATATATATTCTTGAATGTTACAATAAAACAAATCAAATGAAATTGAGGGGAAGTCCCCTGGGGAAACCCCCACCCCCTATTTTTTGGAAAACTTGTTAACGGTCAAGATCCCCACCCCGAAAACATATATTTTCTTGTATGGGACAATAAAACAAATAAAATGAAATATAAGTCGAGTCCCCTTGGGTCACCCCACCCCCCTCCTGTTTGAGAACTTGTAAACGGTCGAGATTCTTACCCCAAAACCATATATATTCTTGTATAGGACAATAAAACAAATCAAATGGAAAATAGGGGAAGTCCAGGGGGTCACCCCCACCCCCCTTTTTTTTGAAAACTTGTAAACAGTCAAGTTCTCACCCCAAAACCATATATATTCTTGTATGGGACAATAAAACAAATCAAATGAAATAAAAGGCGAGTCCCCTGGGGTCACCCCACCCCCTCCAGTTTGAGAACTTGTAAACGGTCGAGATCCCCACCCCTAATTCATATATATTCCTGTATGGGACAATACAACAAATCAAATGAAATTGAGGAAAGTCCCCTGGGGTAACCCCCACACCCCTTCTTTTTCAAAACTTGTAAATGGTCAAGATCCCCACCCCGAAACCATATATATTCTTGTATGGGACAATAAAACAAATCAAATGAAATATGAGGTGAATCCCCTTGGGTCACCCCACCCCCCCACCTGTTTAAGAACTTGTAAACGGTTGAGCTTTTCATTATTAATAAGATAATACCACATTGAGGTCCAAAGGGTCCTAAATTAAACTTTTGTTTAATTTCATCAAATATTGAATTCTTTGGTTCTTTGATATGCTGATTCTAACAATGTTTGAGTGTTAAATCATATCTAATTTAGAGAACTTAGTCATCACTGGTTGTTGTTATTATATAATTGATTATAATTTGAAAAAATGCATCATAATTTTTAGAGAACTATTTATCCAGTTTGAGTTATTTCCATTTGTACAGAAAATATTATGGATAAAATTAACCTGTGTTTCATTTCAACATAAGTTAAAAATATATATATAGGGTTCTTTCAAATGCTGAATCTAAACATTCAAGATCCCCACCCTGAAACTATATATATTCTTGTATGTTACAATAAAACAAATCAAATGAAATAAAAGTTAAGTCCCCTGGGGTCGTCCCCACCATCTTTCTGTTTAAAAACTTGTAAACGGTCGAGATCCCCACCCCTAAACCATATATATTCTTGTATGGGACAATAAAACTAATCAAATGAAATATAGGGGAAGTCCATTGGGGTAACCCCTACCCCCCTTTTTTTTGATAACTTGTAAACGGTCAAGATTCCCACCCAGAAACCATATATATTCTTGTATGGGACAATTTATCAAATCAAATGAAATATAGGGGAAGTCCACGGGGCTAAACACTACCACCTTGTTTTTAAAAACTTGTAAACGGTTAACATCCCCACCCTAAACCATATATATATTATATAATTGATTATAATTTGAAAAAATGCATCATAATTTTTAGAGAACTATTTATCCAGTTTGAGTTATTTCCATTTGTACAGAAAATATTATGGATAAAATTAACCTGTGTTTCATTTCAACATAAATTAAATATATATATAGGGTTCTTTCAAATGCTGAATCTGAACTCTATTTAAATATTAGATTTTTAAGCCCAGTTTTTAAGTTGGTCCAAATCAGGGTCCAAAATTAAACTTTGTTTGATTCAACAAAAATTGAATTTATGGGGTTCTTTGAAATGCTGAATCTAACCATGTATTGAGAGATTTTAGATTGTGGGCTCCTTTATCAAATTGGTCCACATTGAGGTCCAAAGGGTCCTAGATTAAACTTTTGTCTGATTTCATCAAAAATTGAATCCTTGGGGTTCTTTGATATGCTGGTTCTAATATGTACTTAGATTTTGGATATTGGACCATAATAGGTATTTAAATGTCCAATTTCAAATATATCAGTTCTTTCACTACATTCATTTTGAGTCACAAACATATGATGTGTCAAATATTCAATCACAATCCAAATTCAGAGCTGTTTTAAGTTTAAATGTAGTGTCCATACTTGCTCAACTGTTCAGGGTTCGACCTCTGCAGGAAAATCCGGTTTGCTGTCTCTCTGACAGCCTTTTGTTTCAATTCCTCTAATGTTTATATGATTAGACTATGGTTTTTTTTTATCTATTTTAATTTTTATCACTTCGAGGTTATTATCTGTTCTCGTTTTACAGGCTAAAATTTTAATATGTAAAATTTCAACTGTTAAAACAATTAATTAATGGCGCTTAAATGACATCGTTGAAGAATTCCCCTACGAATATTTAGTGGGTTAAAAATCCATCCTTTATTTACTGCACACAGGCAAATTTTGCTCACCTGAATTTCACATTAATCTCACGCGAAATTCACCTCAAAGATTTCACGTCAGATTCACCTCAAACGAGCTTATACATGAAACTCACATGAAAATTTTCATATTTTTTCACGTGGATTACACGTTAACTTTACAAAAAAAATGTATTTTTCATGATTTTAATTAAATTTGAAAATTAGAATATTATTTGAATAATTTTATTTTTAAAATTCACCTGATTTTCACGTGAAAAAAATTCATATGGTTTTCACGTGGAATGCACATGAGTTTCACATGAGATTTACGTGAAACTCACATGAACTGATTTCACGTGATTTTCACGTATAAGCTCGTTTGAGGTGAAATTCGGATTCACATGAAATTCATGTGAGTGAAATTATCCTGTGTACAGTTTTTAACATTTTATACACGATTTTGACCAATTGTAACATTACTTTTAAATTCCATTATGTAAACATGTGTTTATTTTTTTTTAAGTTTAAACTGCATGCCACATGCATTTGTAAATATCATGCTAAACTTTAAAGAAACTTGTAACCTTTAAAAGCTAATTTCAAAAGAGGAGATGATATAGAAATATACAATCTCTCTACACGTCTTAATGCAAAATTGGTTTGATTTTAGCTGTCACTCATTTGTATAAGAGAATTTGATTATTAGAATTAAAATACTTTACATAGATATGTTTATTGTTATTAATTCAGGATCTTGCTTGTTTTTCACACAGTTGCAATTTACTGTACCAAAATTGATTACATTGTAATCTTAGATGATAACAAAATTATAAAATCAACCTGAAATTACAACACAGATGGATTTGCAGTCCATCAAATATATTAAAAAGTCAGTATTTTTTTTTTTGTAATTGAGGAGAAAACCTAAATCTTAAAATATAAAACGAAGACGTGGTGTGCTTGCCAATGAGACAACTCTCCACAAGAGACCAAATGACACAGAAATTAACAACTATAGGTCACCGTACGGCCTTCAACAATGAGCAAAGCCCATACCGCATAGTCAGATATTAAAGGCCCCGAAATTACATATGTAAAACAATTCAAATGAGAAAACTAACGGCACAATTTATGTACAAAAAAAGAACGAAAAACAAATATGTAACACAGAAACAAACGACAACCACTGAATTATAGGCTCCTGACTTGGGACAGGCACATACAGAATGTGGCGGGGTGAAACTAGTTTGTTGGCGCCATACACTCCCCCTAACCTGGAACAGTGGTGTAACGGTACAACATGAATACAAACTATGCAAAACAATAAACGAAAAACAAATATGAGAAACAGCAAAAAAATACGACAACCACTCAATTACAGGCTCCTGACTTGGGACAGGCACATATAGAATGTGGCGGGGTTAAACTAGTTTGAAGGCGCAACCCTTCCTCTAACCTGGGACATAGGTGTTACAATACAAAATAAGAACAAACTATAAAAATCAGTTGAACAAGGCTTTACTCATCAGATAGATACAAACAGAAATACATCTAACAAAAACACAGAGTGGACGTGGACGGGTACTTGTTTACCCTTACATCAAAAAGACACTAAGTACAGATCTGAGAGTACTCGCAGTTACTGACAGCTAGTTTAAAGCCAATAACAAATAATAAAAAAGACATGCATTTAAGACTAAATTATCAGTACACATCCAAGATCCAATGGATTTAGTATAAAGACGTCATAAACAGTCAGAGAAAAAACATGACCTTGTACAATGCCAAGATACAGGTATCGACAGATTGTGGAGTTCTTGATTTGAAAGTTTGTTAACATCCAAACTTTTCTGAGTTGTTTAATCGCATTTTGTTTTCGGGTTATTAACGGTATATCATTGTTACAATTTTTAAGGCACATTTTACCATATAGACATTTAGCAGTCTTTAGTAGGGAATATCTCTCGTTATGCTTAAAGTCACAATCCCGTTTTCACTCACTTCATGTTTACATTTACGAATTCGACATGCCACCGAAATGTTATTTGCCATGCAAATCATACCGGTTGCCACTAATGTACTCGGATCTGATTACCATTCAAGAACAACCGAGGTCACTCCTATCGATATCTTGCGAACCTTTCCGACAAATTGGATATAAAAGTGGTCTACAATCCATCACGGTCAACCAATGCATGGTAGTGTAAGTTTAACTTCCAAAAACATTAACGCATCCTTTAACATCGAAAATTATAGCTGCATTCGTCATATATACATGATATACACACGTTTCGGAATTGTTCGAGGTTTTCTATAGTACAAAATAGCATCATGTTGAATTATATTATATTATTACAATTCAATGAACAAAATTAACCAAACTACTCGCTTAGATATTCTAGGAAAGGCAGGATATACGTGAAGTATATAATCTATGTATAATTCCAACGTTTGTTCGGTTGAAATTTATCTGTAAGGAACCACGCAGACTTGAAATGTGTAGTCTTAACGCATCCAATCAAACATCCCAGACATGTAATCTATAGTTCCTGTACTCAAAGTTCTTGATATAAAGAAAACGACTTTTTTTAATATAATTAACGGTGAAAATATTTCAGAACTAATATACTTGTTTCTAGGAGTGTGAGCTATATTCATTCACATGGTTTGTTCGTCCATGAAATATTGCCTGAACACTTGTTTTGGGTACTTTTAAACAGAACGACTTCATATTTCATTAGCATCTTGACAATGATGAGTTTAAACACATGAGCACTTTCCCGTCCCCGTCCCCTTTTCTTCGAATGTGACCTACCGAAACTTATCACCGGGTTTGAACTGAGCAAGATCTGCTTACCCTTCCGGAGCACCTGAGATAACCCCCAGTTTTTGGTAGGGTTCGTGTTGCTCAGTCTTTAGTTTACTATGTTGTGGTTTGTGTACTGTTGTTTGTCGTTTAGCCTTTTTTCATTTTTTTTTTGCAATGGCGTTTCAGTTTATTTTTGACTTATGAATTTGAATGTCCCTCTGGTATCCTTTGCCTCTCTTTTCCGGATCTGTCAGACACTTAATACCTGTTTTCAGATACTCTTAAGTTTTCAATACAGTGAATAAAATTAAAATTTATCTTCACACTGTTTTGAAGTACTACAAAACAGAACGACTTGATATCTGGCAAGATTGATAACGATAAATTGAAACGTATGAAGATCTGTCAGATGCCGGCTTCCTTGTTACCGATAGTTTGAATTACGAGTGGGAATATGCTTATCACAAGTCGTGAAATTGTGTTTCATATTTCGTTTAAAAGACACAATTTGGCTAGACACACCTGTATCAAGGTCAAATCTTAGATAATCCTTATTACTTATCCTGTATAATATTCCTAAAGATATGTCCATGTTTTGGTTAATCAAATGAGGAAAACTACTATTAAGAAAAACAATGCATCCCTTTTTCATCTTTACTTGTGAATGCACAACGCTTTATAAGATTTCCATTAACATTCTAGCAGGAAGAAAGAATGCATTCTAAGTAAAGTAATCAGAAATCAAGTATTTATAATCATAAAACTCTGTCAACATTTTTCAAAACCATTGCAATATGCACAAATCCAACTATATAATACAATTGCAGTCTCATTATACGCTCGAAAATATAATGTCTGTATGCAATGACTTGATCGACCGTAGAAGGAAACTATTAACAGACTGAAAATATTCATTATTATGTTTCCTATGTATCTATTTAAACATTGTAACGCATCCTCAGATTGTTTTATAAAAAAGTTTTCACGTTGTTTTAATTTCTTAAACAAATACATTTACAAATTGTCTGACTCAAGTTTTTTTTTATGGTAAATGAATATGGTCAACCGGCTTGCTCCCGTTCTGCAGTAGCACTCGGGGACGTTCGTTTGGTTTTGCATATTGTGCAATTTACTTTTTATTCATGTTCGCATAATAAAGTGAAAAAAAAAATAGAATTGTCTTAGACATATAAGCCCCTGAAAAATGTCTGAAATTCCTTAAAAAAATATCACCGTATTATTAGGGATATAAAATGTTATCGTTCTTCCTAAAGATACAAGTTAATCGTCGAGAATGTGTATTCCGATGAGGACTTTATGTGCCCTCTATTTAACGTGGACATGTTTTCTGAGGCCTGTACATTGCTAACATGATTCTTAAAATTTTCAAACAATATTCATGTAACTCAAATTGCTCTTACTAAACCCAACATTAAGGCTGTTTGTTGTCTCTCAAACGCGAATATGTGACAGTCATGATAATTGCAGTTTTAAAATTGAAATCTCTTTTTAAAATTTTCCCGAAAGTAGCAAAATTGGGCGTTGTTCCATTAACAATTTGTTCTCCATATTTGCTTGCTTTGATTTGTTGAATTTTCTAATGTACACATAAACATTTGCTTATGCTTTCCTATATTATAAAGTATTTTTTAAAAACGTCGTTATATATCTAAATGCTCTTACGATATTTCTCATACATGTTGTATTCTATATTTTCTTCATTAATATTATTGAAAAAAAAGTTACACGAGTTCGAATCCTGCACGTGACAGGTGCGCTCGACTCCTATCTTAAATGACCAGAATTGTCAGATTTCCTACTGAAGGTCGGTGGTTCTCCCCGGGTACTCCGGCTTCCACCAACAATAAAAACTGATCGCTACAAAATAGCACAATAGTGCTGAAAATGGCATTAAACACCAATCAATACACCAAGCAAGCAATCCTAAATTATAAAGTATTTCAACCTTTTGTCGCTGTATAATATCACTTAATATAAAGTTACACTGGGTCCATCAATTTTGCGCAGGCATTTGGTTATGTAAATAGTGCTTCAACGTGATTGGTATAATTGATAAAGAATGTTTCTATATCAGTTCTTTGCAAAACGATTTCATAATGTCTTGCTTAAATGTTCTGGAATGAAGGAAATTTAAAATTCCCACTGATAAAATATTCACGAATTATCAGTAAGATAATACTGAACTTCAAAATATTGATTCAATTTAGTTACACACAGATCTTTTTTATCA